TTGCTGAGCATCTGCATGGATGTGGAGAAGGGAGCTTAGAAGTGGTGCTGTCATCCATGCAGCAGAAAATCAGGTTTTCTACCTGGGTAGCTCATCTCTTTGCCCTCCGGTGATGCAGGCTGGCCTGGCTTCTGCACACTACAGGGGAGGGTCAAGCCCTGTTCCACCCCTGGGTGTGGGGTTGGGTGGGAGCCAGTGCTTCCAGTCCCCCCAGCTGGAGCCAGGGCCATGTCTGGCAACTACTCGGCTGTTCCTCGAGCGCCTGGTGCCTCCCTTCCGCAGGAAGACGTGCCCAGCCCGACGAGCATGCTCCACTCCTTGGGAATCGCCCAGGCGACACGTTTTATTGCAGAAGAATGGAAAACATTCTCAGCCCAATTGCTGGAGGGGTTAGCGTGTGTTTTTTCCACCCCTTTTTCATGCCGTGCCTGCTGGATGGGCTCCATGAGAAGCTGCATGGAAGAGGTGGGTGCTCCGTCCCCTGTCCCGGCAGAGGTGTTTCCGGGGCTGGGGGTAGCATGTCCCAGGGTGCTGGCACCTCATGGGCTGGCTAGGACAAGCACAGTTGCCTGCCAAGGGCGCATCCAGCATCTAGCAAGCAATGATTCTTGGGCATCAACACCTCGCATCATTTCTTCTGTAGCTTTGTCAGAAAACCAGACACACACCCCTCTGAGTTTTGTTTCCTCTGAGAACCGGAGGATGTTGCTGATTTTTCTGGTCTGAGATGGTTTTATCCCCAAACCATGATGCTTTCAACCCTAAAAAGCCTAAGCTTTCAGCTGAGTCCATTTTCTGAGTGAAAAGTGTGTCGTTTTCCTAAAGGAAAGGTAAAAAAGAGCTCTGAAAGTAACTTTTGCTTTGTTCACCTTCAAGACTTCTACGGTGGGGCTCTCACCCCCAGAAGATTGCGGGGATGCCCTTCCCGGTGTCCTGAATATGTGACGTCCCAGCATTCCGCGGCACCCCCTTGAGGAAAGTGAGAGCTGGTGTGGGGAGCAAGAGGGGAAGAAGCAGAAGAAAGAGTCCGAAGGCATTATCTCCTCTCCTCCAGCTCCCACGCTGCATCTGCAACCTCCCCTCTCACTCGACCCGCTCATCTTTCCTAAGAAGCCGAGCCAAGCTTTCCCGCAGACCCAGACAGTTATTAGAGAAATATTATTACCAGATGGTTTATTTTTTTCCATAGGACCAGAGGCCAGCGTGAGGTAATGGGGAAATTGTTAACTCACTCCACACCAAGCCTGTGTGTATGGTTGTGGCTTTGCTGATGGAGCCGTGCGGGGGTGGCGGTGGGGCACTCGCAAACCGTGCATGCTGTACTGGTGAGGTGGCTGGAAACCCCCCCTTGGGCTGGCAGAGGCTCCATGGGATGGCTTGAGAAGGCTTTGAAGGGCATAGGGGAAGAGCACATCCCCAAATGGTGCTGGAAGGAAGGGAAGGGTTCCTCAAACTGGTAGGAGCAAAGCCCAGCTGGCAAACTGTGCAGCAGGGAAGTTCGCCCCAGGTCAGATGAGCCAGCAATTCAAGTGGAGGAGAAGCGTCACGTCCCGGCTGTTCTGCCTCTTGTAGGCTGGATATGAGTGCAAGGGGAAAAAAAAAAAAAAGGGTGCTGCTCTGAGTAGGGATGTCAAAGGATTTGGAAGATGCTGCACGGCATGGGTTGGCTCTTCCACTTTTCTTTTTTTTTCAGGTGGGTGGATGGGTGTGAGACCTTCCTCTGGTGCTGCTGAGCCTGCGGCAGGATGCTCACCAAGCACAGCCCGCCTGAGCTGGGAGAAACGGTGCTTTCCTGCTCAGAGGGGTTTCTCTGCTGTGGGAAGCTAAATTATCATGTCTTGTGCACTCAAGGAGCGGGGAGAAGGTGATGCAGCCAGCTGGCAGGACGCTGGTGTGCTTCTTGTGTTTGCTACCAGGGAAATGTCAGTGCTCATCAGTCGTGGCATCTCCCGTGACCACATGAGAGGACAAAGTAGCCCCAGCTGCAGAAGATGGAGCTGGAAACCTGATACTCAGTCCTTTCCTGCTTTCCAAAGCACCCTTTGGTTATGAATGTGGGAGTGGGTTCAATCCTGGCTTTTCCCAGGCGAATTTATTCCAGATAATTTCCGTATTTCCCATGGAAGGAGCATTTTTGACTTCTAAGTGGACTTGATTAAAGGGGAGGAATGGTTGCACGGAAGAGTTAATAGCAGAAAAATGGAGAAAACTCATTCTTTTCTTATTCTCTGGGAGGAGAAAAAGCCTAAATTCTGTCCCAAGTGTGCTTTTTCTTTCTGCATCTCTGGAGCAGGGCTAAAAGTTCATTACTTGCTGTGCAGCACAGTGCTTTGGGATGGGGAGCACTTGTCCCAGGGGGCATTCAGGCACCATGGAGTGCCTCCCCTTGCCCATCTGCATTGTCTTCTGCTAGCAGAAGGACCCCCTGCTCCTGGGGGACCTGGTGTGGCAGAGCCATAGGGCTCAGCTCCACTGGTCTTGTCTGAAGCAGAAAAAAGGGACATCCTGCACAGGCGTGAGTCCCTAGATTTTGGGACATGATAGCATGCTGCTAGGTCCAGTGACGGCAGTGACTGTGGGCTCAGCCTGCAAACTGCTGCCCAGCTATTTCTGCAAAATTAGCCCACGCTTTTCCAATGAAATGATCATTCAATGCCTTTGGGACGCTGCTGGCTGCTGGCTCTGGTTTAGCGCTCCAGCTCTGGGAAAAGCAGTTTTAAAATGCTGTTGAAGCCAGACATGGATCCAAGTCCACAGTCCAGCTGGACAGCAAAGAGGACATAGTGCTAGACCAGGGCCCGTGGGGCTGGTGTCAGGGTGCCGGGCAGGGCTCGGGGTCCCCGGCGGGGTGGGGGGAGCCCTGCCTTGCTGGGTCCACAGAGCAGCGTGCACAGGGTCTGGCAGGCTGCAGCTGCACGGAGCCATGTACAGTCGACAGGCAACTTGCACAAACCATACCACTGCCGTGAAGTCTTTGCTGGTGTGGCCAACTGGCCTCCAGCTTGCAAGGCGCTGACGGAGCAGGGGGTGGGATCAGCTTTTCTGCTGCTCGGGGTAATTCTCCAGGAGAGAAGGGGAGTGAGCAAGACATGAAACAAAGAGGAAAAGGTGTGCTCTGGTTCACAGCGTGCCTCTGCTGAGCTGATGGTCTCTTCCCAGCACCCCGGTTCCTAAGAGCCTCTGGCTGATTTTCAGAATCCCAGGTGAGCTCCCCAGTGGGAGGAGATGTGCTGGAGAGCCAAATCGGATCAGATCCCCTGTGAACTCTCAGGCAGCAAGGTTTGTCCCTGAACACACTTGCTGTCTTGGAAAGCATCTTCAGCAGGTTTGAGATGCCTTGAAAATTTGCCTTACAGTGTCCTCATCTCCTGGTGCCACCTGCACAGCGCTGCAAAGCCCAGCCACCTCTGTGGTGCCTGGTTACCAGCCAGGTCCACACTGGTGCTCCAGCTTTTCAGCTGGAGGAAAAGATGCTTTCTTCAGCACAACAAACCTCATATGCTTGGCTGTAGGAAGTTATTGCATGTTGGAACCACTGAAAAAAACCAACACTTTAGCTCCGCTAGTTATGAAGTACATCAGTGGAGGAACCTGTTCATACCATGGAGGTCTGCCTAACAGCACTTGTTTCAACTTGAGACAACTTCCTACAGCCAAGCCTATGGTGTTTTCTCCTGATCATTCACACAGAGGTGCTGTCAGAGTAGTTGTGCATGAGAGGCAGGGTGATGGAGATGGCAGCCAGGCCTGCATGGCCTCACAAAGCAGCACAGCAGCTCTCCTGCTGCCCTTGTACAACCACCTTGTGTGCAAACCATTAGTACGGGCTGGGTTTGTGCTCTTGGCTCTGCCCCTTGGAGCCATCCTGGACAACGCACCAACCTGCAGTTTAATGACAACTTTTGGTCCCCTCCTGTACTTCTGGGAGGAAGTTACGGTGGCAGCTGTAGCAGGCTCATCCCCCAGGCAATTCCCCTCTCTCCCTGGCTGATGTTGCCGCTGTGATGAGGGGTTTGGCAGTACTCACTTTGGGTCTGAGCTCAGCAGCACGGGGCTTATCTCCAGTGCTGGCCGTAGAGATCAGAGCCTACAACACCTTGGGTGGCCTCGCTGTGGGGATCTGGCTCTCCACTGCTGTAGATCCTCAGGCCCTCCTGCCATCCTACAGGGTGGGAAGTTGCTCATCTCCAGGCATCCCAAAGGACTTCGGCTCTTGCTTCTACCTTCTGGGCTCGACAGCTTCAATCCCATCCCCGCTCTCTGCCCTACGCATGGCCCAGGGGTGTCATTCCCAGCCTGTGGGGGTTTTCTCAGTTTCTCTCAGGTTCCTGACTGAGTTGAGTAGAAAGACCAGAAAGTCAGGAAGAAAGGTGCTTCTCCAGAAATGTGGTACCTCCGTAGTAACCCCATTCCTGAGTAGCCTTGGGACAGGTCAGGCTCTGCCCTGCGCTGAGGACTCCTCTGGTCAGCAGCACAACACAGGCCAGCTCTCACCGAGGTGGGGCTGTGATGGGAATGCCTGTTCCCCTGCACCAGCTTTCTTGGCCCAGGGGCCGAGAAGGAGCATTCTAGAAGGCGCCCTGAACCCCTCTGCCCCACAGAGGGGGAGAGCTGACCCCCAGGGGGGATGCTGATGCTGGGTGCTGACTGTGCCAGGGCTCCCTGTGTGAGGCTTAAGGAGGTCCCACGCACCGACGTCCAGGGTGCCATCGCAGGTACAGCTACATCAGAAGAAGGGTAAGGAGAAATGCCTCATTTGTTTCTGACTCACAGCTGACAGCCTCTGATCCCTCCCTCCATCCTCCGGCTGGAGAAGTCTCCTCCTCACCCTTACCCTCCTGCCTGCTCTTCCTCCCACAGAAACCAAGGCGAAAGCGGTAAAAAAATAACTTCAGCGACTCCTGCCTCCGGACCGCGGCCTCTCTTGGCTGCTGAGTTCTCCTTCCCTGCTTTTTTTTTTTTCCTTCGATCCAGCTCGATGGTAATCTGAACCAAGGAAAATGAGGCTGCGAGACTTTATATTCACTTTGCTGCTCCAGGCCGGCTTCCTGGGGGGAGGCTTGTATGCTCAGCCTCAAGACAGAACCACCCAGGTCACAAATGCAGAAGGTAAGTCCGGGCTGCTTCCCTGGGGTGTTTTTGCTCCCTGGGGTGAGAAAGAGAGGTTCTGCTGCTGTTTCTTTCCTGAGTGGACGCCTCTGCTGCCACACACAGCAGCAGCTTTTTCGGGACGTTTGGGGGAAGAGTTGTATTTGCCGAGGAGAATGATGTAGGGTTAGAGAGGATCTGCAAAACGTACACACTTGTAACTTTTTTGGGGTCTTTCTGCTTGGCTCTCTCTTGTCAGATGTTACCAGTAGCACAGGAGAGGGGAATAACAGCTGATAAGAGTTTAGTGTTCTGAAATGTTCTGATACTGGCTGTTAAGGGGCATTGTCATTTTTGCTCTCCTCTGCAACGACATTTGTGCCAGGATGTGTCAGAAAATCATCAGTGTCTCATTGCGTTGATTGTTATCATGTCTCGGCTTTATTTTTTAAGTGTTTCGCTACAGCTGCCTGTTAGTTTATATAATAACTACCATGAGTTTTGCAAAGATATCCTTTCAGGAAAAAAAAAAACATACAGGAAACCATTAAATGCCACAATGTGATTTTTTTCTGAATACATGCTTGATCTGGCTTATCCTTGATTCCAAAACAGAAACAGGCAACTTCCCCATGCGTGTTTGTGTGTTTTGTGGGGGGTTAGGACGTGAAAGCGGTGCCCTCAGCACCGGCCCTGGGAGCCTGCTGGGAGGGGAGCTGGGCTGCGGGCAGGCGGCGCAG